GAGAAATGGCCACCTTACTGAAGACACCACAAGAGGCAGGCGCACCCTCCCCTGGGTGCTGATAGACTGGCCTGCCCTCAGCGCACTCCCGGTTTGGAGCAGAAGCCCACAACATGGCCAACGGGGTGCAAGGCGGTGAAGAGGGCAAGCTTCAGAGTCTGGGAGTCCTGTGTTCATTCCCAGGTCTGCCCCTGGCCTGCTGGATAACCCTGGCCGGCTCCTCCAGCCTCTCCGGGACTCAGTTTCCTTATCTGTAGTACAGTAGCATCACCTTGAGTGTGAAATGTGCTAATGCTAAGCAGAGTGACAGACATCCTCCTGGTGCCCAACAGAGGCAGGTCACCTGGGCAGGAACCTGTAGGGTTTAGGCCAAACCCAAGCCCGGCCTTTGGAGGCCTCCCCCTGCGTGTGATGGCCCCTGGCCCTCCAGGGGTGTGAGCAGCCCTGATTCCTGGCTGCCTGTGGAACCATCCCGGGCTGCCTGTGGAACCATCCCGGGCTAGCCTCACCTTCCTAGCCTTTTAGCTCGGTTCCACTGCCTCCTGAGGGCCACCCTCCGCTTCAGCCCAGGCTCCAGTCTGTCTTCCCTAGATGGGCAGGCTGACGCTGAGCAGGGCAGCACTGTCTTCCTGTAAGAGAAGCTCAGGCAGGACAGTCCTGCACATCCTGGAGGGTGGAACAGACTGGCTCACCCAAGTGCCCAGGGAGCAGTGCCCGCTGAGGCTGAAGCTTGCGTCATCCACGGTTCCCACATTTCCGACTCCCCCATGGAAGTGAGACCCCAAAGCCTGGGGCAGGGGAGCCTGGGGTACCCCTGCAACCCATCTGATTACCTTTCTGTACAACTGGAGCAGGTCAAGTTAGTTTTGTGGCCCTTAGTTTTCACATCTGTAAAAAGGGATACATAATACCCATTTCCAGGGGTTATTGCCTGGATCACGTGGTGAACAGAGGGATATGCGTTTTGTAATGATTAACTTATTCTCCAAATGTTTGGACCTCTTTGGGCCCAAGGAGGGCGGAGGCTGAGGGTGGAGGGCAGAGGATGGCATTCCTGGCAGCCCGTGTGCAGCTGGTGCCAGGATCCTCGCACCCCAACCCAGCATTCTAGTTTCTGATGTCAGATGGTGGTGCTGACTTCACGAGATGGGGAGTCTCAGGAGATAAGCTGGAAGGACTGGGAGAGCAAACAAGGCCAGGGGCCCAGGAAGAGAAGGGAAGAATAGATCAGAGGCCATGGAGGGGACCGTGCTAGATGGGGCTGCTGGTGCCAGGCTCTTGCTTGTGGCCAGGGCTCCATAGACAGGAGAGGCTTGGGCCCATGGCATAGATGACTCAGTGGATAGGACACTCATGGGTATGGGGTTGGACCAGCTTATGCAGAACCTCAGGAGCCAGGCAGCCCACAGGTGGGACAACCTGGCTACCCAGGGGAGTCAGTGCTGGCCGCCGCTGTACCGGATGTCTGGCTTAGCTGGCTCCAGAGCCATCAGGCCACTGGGCAGCAGCCCAAGCCTGCAGACTGGATGCAGGACAGGGGCAGGTGGCACATCAGGGCCTTACTAATTAGGACCAGAACTCCAGGCTACTGGGGCTGAGCCCATGCCCTCCGGCCTACCTGGCAGCTCAGGGCTGAGATGAGCCATGTACACAGCAGGCTAGCGACAGGCTGGGACATCAGTTGTTCTGAAGTGTCACAGGAAGTGAGGCCCTGTGGCAGCCGGGGGTGAAAGTGTCATGCAGTGAGCTGCCAGGCGACTCTGTGGCATGAAGGGACGGGATGTGGATTGAAGAAGAAGATAAACAGGTGGCTCCCAGGCAGATGTGTGGGAAGAGCATTTCGGGCAGGGTCTAAGATGGGAAAGGTGTGTCTGCCAGGGAAGAGGTGGATGAGGTTTGGGAGGTCCTCAGGCAGCCAGGGCTGGCCTCATCTGCATTTTCAAAGCTGCTGTGCCTTCACAGCCAGCTCCTGAAGGGCCCCCTGGGTCGGACCTACAGCAGGGTCCTGGCAGCTGCTCTGGGTTGATGCTGCTCGTTCCTCCCATCCGTCCAGTGCTGTGCCCAGAGTCACGGCCCTGGCCCCACAGAGGGCCTGACCCCCACGCAACCCCTCTCCCATGCAACTCAACTGCAGGACGTGCATCCTCTGGAAACCTGGTCTTCGTGACGTCACCCTCTCCCTGAGCATGAGCATGGGGTCCTGCAGTGGCCAGACCCCTCCCCAGCCTATCCTAGGACTGCAGGTCCCCTGGGTCTGCTCAGGCCGCCATAACAAAATACCTCGGACAGGGCAGGTTAACCAACAGCAATCTGTGGTCTCCCATTAACAGTCCGCAGAGGCTGCAAGTCCGAGGCCAAGGTCAATTCTTAATCCTATCTGAGTGGAGGGACAGGGTGCGCTCCTGGAGGCTACTCTCTCATTGCTCCTTCCCATGGCCACCCCGTGTACACACACCTTGGGGTCTGTGTGTGTCCACATTTCCTTTTCTTTTTTTTTTTTTTTTTT